GTCTTTGCGAATCCCCTGGCCACTGAAATGTTATATTCCTGCAGTTCTCCTCACTGTTTCCTGCAGCTCTAGAAAGAAAGCTGAAAGAGAAAACCAGCATATTTATGCAGTAATGTGTCCCCTGTCCCATTATCTGCACTGTCTGTAATACAGAGTGCTTGTCTTGACTGACAAATGTCACTTAAGGCACTTAAATATGTGTTTAGTGTTCTCCTGCCTGCAGCAGACCACAGCACATATTCTACATTAGGCCATGAGCTTCATCAGTGTGAGACTGAAGGTTTATTCAAGGCTCTGATATCCATATATAATATTGGGATAATAAATCTAGTTATTATTTTACAGATGCATTTGTAACATTTATATTGCTGTTCAATTTATATCATTTAACCTTTTTAAATGTATTTATTCCTCTCTGCAATATTCTTAATATGCTTTTTAGTGCTTTTTATGAGATACAAAACTTACAAAAATTTTAATATTATAAATTTCTAGAGTTATCCAATGCTTTTTACACAATGAACAAAAAGGATTTGCAGTTTAGAGAACAAGTATTTGTTTTTTTTCCTTTAATAGTCAAATGATGTCGAGCAGGATCCATAACATGGCGCCGTCTGCCATTTTGTTTCACATTGTATTATCAATAGGCCTGATTGACTGATTCTGTATCACACAGATGCAGCAGCCACGTACACCAGACAAAAAGCTGTTGCTTTTCTCTGCTTGTTTCAAGTATGTAAATCAAAGAGAAGCCACATTTCTGTGACACTGTTAACTCGAAAAAAACATTTGTATTTGATCATTTAGTCTGAAAATAAATTAAAGAAATAAAAACATTAGTAGTTGTAAAAAGAAGGAAAGATTGAAAAGGTTCAGAAACAACTTCTTTTTTTTTTCATCAGAAACAGATTTATTTATAGTCACTTTAAAAACTTTGTTTAGTTGCTAAAATACGATAAATTATGCCTTCAAAATTAAAATGTGATAAATAATTGGGAAACGCAACAGAGGAACAATGTACAGGAGCACAGTGGTAAGACTTGGCAGGCAACCTGAAACCAAAACTGTATCCTCAAATGAACTTTATGCCATGCGAAGTGCAGTGTGCACACTACGCATAAATACACAAAGTGTGCCTCTCTAAAGCAGCTACAGTTAATGCTTGTAGCTCCAACATTTTATGTTTTTGATTCAAGTTATTTCCACATAAGGTCTCCTCTACACATATACACATGACAGCTTTATACATTGAAGCCATAATGAAGTCATGTGTTTCTCAATTGGTTAAAACGCATGGCGAGATGTGACGTACAGCTGCACTCCTTCGAATAGGATTCTATAGCTCATGCCAATGCAGACACCTGAACCGAGCTCGTATCTCATTTAGGGAAAGAGAACAAATAAATTCCAGTCCAGCCTTTTTTCCCGCACTAACGTAGAGTAAATAATGCCAGAATTCCCCCCTCTTACTCTCTGCACATGGTCTGTGTTTAGCCACCTGTGTTTTTTTGAAACCTGTCGAGCAAAGAGGGGTACAGAGGGGAGAATAGTTTTTTGTGGAGAGTCCAGTCTCTGTGCTGCTGTAGTGAGGAAGAGAGCCGGCGAGGAACGGGGTGGTGGCCGTGCTATGAAAGCAGCCCTCACAAACTGTGCAGCCTGAAGCAGTAGCAGCCATGTTAGACAAATCTGCGTGAGCCTGAGCCCCACTAATAATGCAGTTGCCCTCCAAAACCAACAGAAAGTTTTCACAGAGTAAAAGTAAGAAAAGTTTAACCCCCACCTTTTTTTCTCTCATTGTGTCTGCTAGGCATGTAGTCCCCTCTTTAATGCTCAGCAGTTTACAAAGCAGAAATGCAATCAAAATAGTTCCTCAGTAACAGATACACTTTACATATCCCCTTCCTCCTTTTATTTCCTTATAGAGCTCCTGTAGTTCAAGGCCGAGGGGAAAAAGTTAAAGCCACGAGCTCTGCCTTTGCAGTTTTTAGAACCAGAGCCAAAAGAGGCAGGAAGTTGTTGTACAATAGCGTTACAGTAATCTGCCACAAATGGAAAAAGCCAAATGCTGATCGCCGAGTACAGAAGGTGGCAGAACAGAGGCAGAAAGAGGGAGGGAGGGACAGAAGGGAGAGAAAGAGAGCTAGCGTGTGTGAGAGAGACAGACGTTACAGCAAAGAATAATCAATACAATCTAAGATGGTGGAAACAGCCATGCTGTTTAGGTCTCCCCCCTCTAGTTCCCTCTCTGGCTTGCTTACACTTCGTGTAAATCGGTGCATGGATCCGGTTAGAACAAATTGTTTAGACGATTATATTTTCTTTCTTTCCTTTTTTTTTTTTTTTTAATTTTTTTTTTTTATCCCTCCTACTTTTTAAAAAACGGACAAATCAGCATCTCTGAGGAGGTTTCTCGAAATTTTCACTGAACTGTTGAATGTGCTTCACACGGCAAGTGGCAGCTGGTTTTCCTCGAGGAAAAGCAGCAAAGTCTCACCCAAAAATGCTTATCAGCCTTTTGACTTTGTGCCAAAATAGCTGCAAGGGTTCAGCTTCAGCATTCAGTTTGCTTTGTGACAGAGCCGGGGCAAAGAGGAGGGTCCTGGCCGTGCGTTCTTTGCCACATGTTACTGAAATAAACACTCTGCAAGCTTATCTTTTTCCTGTGTGTATGTGTATTTGTGTGTGTGTGTGTGTCTGTGTGTGTGTGTGTGTGTGTGTGTGTGTGCGCGCGCGCATGTGTATACGTGTGTGTGTGTGTGTGTGCGCGCGCGACTGGTCTATTCTGTGCATTCACGCTAGTCACTGTGGCATGCTAAAGAGTTAATGGACTCCGAGAGTGTGTGCTTCTTTCAGAGTGTGCTCCCAAGACTGTTGCAGCGACAAGAGAACCACTGCAGTAAGAGATAAGGTTAATAATTCAACCAGCTCTCAGAAGTGTTGCATATTTCAAGGATCCTTCAGCAGGGCAGTCCACTCACTCTGAATGATTGTGTTTTCTCTCCTTTTTCCTCGCTTTTCTTTTCACCAGTTAATATAGTAGCTGAGGTACTGTATAGTGTATCCCAGTATGGCGTGTGAGTGTGTGCACTGCGACTGCGCACTGCCGGAGGAGTGGATTTCTGTGTCATTCTTCCTCCTCCACCCCTCCCACGTTCAGTGCTTTCCACCCTCCCACTCTCCCTCTCTCTCTTTCTCTCTCTCTCTCTCTCTCTCTCTCTCTCTCTCTGTGTCTCCGTCTCCCACCCATCTTATGCTCCCTCCCTCCTTCTCCCCCGTCTCCAGTGCAAATACAGTTCCTTGCCGTGTTGGCCATGTGATGAAAAAGTGACTGGTTCGCGCGCTCCGCCGCACCTCCTATTTCATCATCAGCGGAGCTTTTCTCCCCTTCACTGTGCGCTCGCTGTCTCCTCTTCTCTTCCCCTCTCTCTCTCTCTCTCTCACTCACTCACTCTCTCTCTCTTCTTTTTCTCTCTCTGTTTCGGTTGCTCCCCTCTTTCTGCTCCAGCCACACGCAAGGGGGAGACTTAAGCTCTGCGAGGGAAAAAAAAAAAAGAAAAAGTCTGCTGCTATTTCTACAGTCAGGGCCTCCCCACAGCCCGCCCTTCCATAGACGGAGCTTTTTTTTCACTCACTACTAGCTGGATTTTAACCCTCTGCCTCCAACTAGCTGCACAGCAGCTCTGCAAAACCTGGCAACAAGTTGCTTTTTAGGGGCCTTTTCTCACTTTTGGCGCATTGATTTTTGCATCACTTTGGATTTTGGTGCTTTTTCTTCCGTTCTTTTGTATTTTATTTTCTAAAAATGTATCACGTCTTCATATTTTTTCTCTCTCCGCTGATGGGTTCTTGGTAGTATTTATTTGGTTTCTCGCTTTTTGGATGGGAATTCGTGAAGGTGGTGTTTCGCCATGTGATGGGCCTTGTTCCACCTGGAGTGCCGGGGCGCCATTTCTGACGGGTAACCTGCTTGTGGTGGGCTCGTGGTCTGGATGACCACTATGGATGACAAGCAGAGAATGTGACCGGTGTTTGAGCATGGTACACATCTGTGTTTGAGAGAAACGTCCTTCATTAGCGCCAGCGACTGGTGTGAAGTACCGCACCTCCTTCGTCTTTACTCTCTGTCTCTCCCTCTATTTCCTTCCCATGTCCTCTCTCTCTCTCTCTCTCTCTCTCTCTCTCTCTCTCTCTCTCTCTCTGTCCCTGCCTCTGAGTCTCTCACTCACCCTTGTTCTCTCTCTTTCACACCGACTCGCTCTCCTAACAGGGGAATGAGTGGTGTGCTGAGCCGGAGCTCTTTCTGGGACAGGTGCCAACTGCAAACAAAAGACATTAAAAGGCAATAAGAGAAAAAAAAATGTAGTATTTGTGAAATTTCAAATTGTTTGGGCGAACTGTCAGAAGTAGACCTGCATGTTGTGTCTCTACATGGCCACTTTGTGCGATTATTGCATGTTTATATGAAGTATTAAAATTGATGTAGTGACCTAGGGTGTTGTTATAGCAGGGGTTTGAATACTTTGCCACACTTATTCTAGTGAAGGCATTTCATTTGGGAGGAGGGAGGGAGTAATGTGGGAGAGCAGCATATAGACTGCTGAATTATTCATGTGCCCAGCCAAGGCTATGACTGGACTGGTTGTGCTATTTGCATGCATCAGACATGCTGTTTGTCTGTTTGCTAACATTCCTCATTCAGAGACTTGTTAACTAGTAGACGGGCTTAGCTGGAGCCTTGCAGACAGCCTCATGGCCTCCCATTGTTTCAGGCCTCGCCAGGCCTGGAGCCAGCCGGTGGCAGGCGAGCCGTGCAGCCCTGAGCCTGGGGCTCAGACTGTGGCTGGAAGAAGGAGTGAGCCTGGACCTGAGACTGAGGCTGGGGGGCTCAGGCTGGGGCTGGGGCTGGGGCACGGCTGTGAAGGGGACAGTCTGAGGGAAATAACTGGGTCTTGAAGGAACCTACCAAACGGGAGCTTATGGCTTTCTCCTCTTCTTGACAGAGATGTGGATGAAAGCGGGAAGAGCTGCCGAATTTCGTATCCCGACCAGACGTTTGCCATCTTTGCACTGAAATATTGGTGAGTAATATCTGTTTTAATATGTGTACGCTTGTGTGGTTTCGATGGAAGTTTATCCGTGTGTTTACATTTTAGGCTTTCAGTGTTTAACAAGCACCCTGTACAAATAAACATTTGATGCACTTGAGGTTCTTACACAAAGTTTCTTTTAACCCTGTTGTGCATTTACACATCTTAATACAAAACCCTACATGCTCATGTAGTTTAGGAACATATAGCACATATGAGAGCGACAGATCTATTCCTTTAACTTCAATAATGCTTTTCTATAACTTTTCCCACCTCTCCACAAAACCTAATTATAATTTAGTAATGCAAAAACAAAAGCCATTAATAGTGCTTTGATTGCTGCCAGGATAATCCTACTTCTTGCTAATCAGTGGATGAGTGGAAGGCCACGGTTGTGGAGGTATTTGAGTGTATATGAGTGATGCGGTCCGAGCTTAGCATGTACTGTATGAGGAGAAGTACGTTGTGTACTGATCATGTTGATCGGTTTAATGTTCTGAAAAGTTTAAGGAGACAGAATAGAGAATAAATATAAAAGCGTCCATCACTTTGTCGTTTGAAAGGTATTTGCCACCTACTTTTAATGTTGATCACATCATTTCCTGATTTTTTTTTTTCTTTTCTTTTTGTGTGTGTGTGTATCTTACATCCTTGAACACGGAATCTTGTAACACTTATTCTTTGCATAGTAACATTTTGTGGCAACTGTTGTCTGCAGAATCTCTTAAAATGCTTTTGTACTTCTATTGATGCATGAGCAAACCTGAACGAGCATTAATCCTCTGTGAGCAGTCATAAAGCAGTTCCACACCTACGATGTTGAAACGATGAATCTGACTTCAGATAAGTTACTTTCGTTAAAACATATTTTACGTTGGCTCATTCGGCTCTTTGTCAGGTACTTGGTCATTAACTTTACCAATTCAATGGAAAATACAGGTTGCATCAGTATATGAGCCGTTTATAAGGCAATTTACAATCCCGAGGGTGATTCATAACATTTTTTATTACATAGTAATAACTGTTTTCAAATATCTGTTTTTTTTTTTAAACCTGAAATTAGCAGTTGATTCATGGAAATCTTCCATCTTTGGCCTCTTTTGTGCTTTAGTTTTCTGAGGTGTGCTCAGACATTAGGCTGCTTATCAGGGTTTATATGAAAGGGGACTTTTTTTGAAGGGCACAACCGAGCTGATATTAGCTTTCAGGTGATTCAAGACTCAGGTTCAGCCTTCCCATACGCAGGTGATTATGGTCATCCATACGAATATAAGCTCTGCTTAACTAGCAGTGGACACATGGTTTTGGCTGGCAGAGTATCACACTTCTCCACCCCTAAGGCCTTATTGGCAGTGGATGGCAGTAGTCCAGGGAAAGGTTGCATGTTGAGAGGCAGATGGCAGGGTGGTGAGGGTTTGCAGTATTTTCTCTCTGTAAAAGTATACCTGACCAATCCAACAGCCTGGTACAGCCCACAATGAGGCATTCTGTGCAGTGGAGCAAACTTCAGCTTCACTGCAGCTACACAGCAAAGCCAATCATGGAACACAAACACACACACACACACACACACACAAACGCACGCAAATACAAGTACACAATCAAATGTACATATTCGTATGTATAATTAAATAATTTTCTTTGGCCTGGATGTCAGGTATTGAAACATTTTCACAGCAGGGAGCATATTTTTTTATATCCTTGTCTGTTTTTGCTCTTTCAGTGTGTGTACTTGGGCTTGATGAAATGGTGTGTTCAAAGTCTTTCTTCTGTTGAAGCCGCATGAGTGCCCTCTTAATACATTTTATCAGTCAGTATATTTCTTTTCTTTTTTTTTTTTTCTAAATTTTATATACAAAGGTACCAGTGTCTCATGGTTATACTGCAAAAACAGAGTTCAGGGAAACTGCAGGCCACAGCTAGAACACCAAGTTCCCAAACTTGAACTTGTGGCCTTGAACTTGAATGTGAATTTCTGGATTTTTAATGAAATTATACTTTATATCAAATTTCGTCTTAGAACATACCACTTATTGCTAAATACTACATGTTTTTGTAAACATGCTAAAAAATTCCAACTGACAACCCTTCAAATCCTTATAGGTATCAACCGAAAAATACAATGCTTATGCAGTTTTCACAGCAATTGTAAGTAATTATTATTGTATATAATTCAGGCTTTTAAAATATTAAAATTATTTTAATTAATGGGTTACCTTTGATGTCCTTTGTTTAATTTGTATTTGATTTTGACGAATTTCTCATATTTACATATTATGCACACAGATAGAAAGTACACAGATAGAAAAAGATTAAATGTTGCAAAATAATGTACTCCCTGATTTTTTTCTGTAGAGAATTAATTATTTAAGAATTTTAAAAGTTCTCTCATAAAGTTTCAAAGAGGGAAAAGTACTTTTTTCCTATAAGCATACATCTCTATTGAGGAAAATACACCAGGAAGTGTAAAAACAAAATAACTGTATATGATACAAAAAAATCCATATGTTTTTCCAATGTTGCTTTTGGTGTAGAGAATACAGTAATGGCTAACGAAAACACACCCTCAGTGTATTTTTACTGTGTGTGTGTGTGTGTGTGTGTGTGTGTGTGTATGTGGTAAGATTTTTGTAATTTGTTATTGATTTTTTTTAATAGTATTGAGTTCATTGCAAATTTTCACCGTATGTATTTATTTTAAATCTTCGATCGCAAAATCACAAATCTATCACGTGTCTCATTATTATTGTTTGACTTGTATCAATAAACTTTTTTTTACATTAATTTATTTATTTTGTCAAACTACAATTCTGAGCATGTAGTTTTTCCTAATATTTATCTAATCATGCCTTCAGACAAGTGTAGAAAAAGGCACAGGGCAATATTTACAGGAGTTATTTAATTTCGTGTGACCCCAATTGCTCCAGAATTGCATTATTTGTTATTCTCAATAACGTTATAAGCATAAAAAGTCTATTCATGCAGATAAGAAAAACAGAGCAACCTCTTCTCACAAACTGCCAGCCTGAGGCACTGCCAAGTATTAAGTATATTTAATATTAAAAATCTTATTTCACACAACATTAACACGTGGAATTAACAGATGGGAACAATACAATCAGGGGGTGGAATATTATTTTTTAGAAGTGTAATCTAAGTGGAGATGAAAGAGGTTCTTAATCTCTGGATAACTTTTTGAATAAGACGTTTCCTGTCAGAGACTTTTGTGGTGGTGTGTGTAGCAGTACTGTATAGACTACTGTATGTCTCTGGATCTGAGTGTTTCTGCCAGATACTTTTCAAGTGTTGAGTGTGTGGTTTAGGTCATGTGCCAGTGCTCAGTGTATTCTTACTAGTGCAACACACAGTGAAAATGAGTCATTCACCAGTACAACACAGCAGCAAGCCACCAATACACTGCTTCATTTGTTAAGTGGATAAATTGGTATTTAAGATTATGTGATTTTGTTTCATTTATGAGCTTGCTGTGATGTTGTGAATTCCATCCAATTTCCTCCTGGCTAATATGAAATCCAGATTGGAGTGGTGAATGGGGGCCAAGTGAGCACTCACTGTAAATATATTTTTCTGCCATAATAATGAAGCCTCTTTTATTTCTCCTGCTAAAATGGTTTCAGTGTGCTGTTTTAAGTACAATAAAAACTGAGAAACCCGGCGTAATGAAAGTTATATTGTATGTCTAAGCTCTCTGGAGGATTGTCAGGGTTAGGGATATGATTGACATACAGTACTGCCTGGGCTGCCTGCACTAAAAATGCATTTATGTGGTCCTGTTAGAGGATTTTGATGTCTTCACTGATTCACTGTCATTTTATTTTCTATATATATATTTATTTATTTATTTATTTATTTATTTATATATTTTCATTCATGTCAAAATAACACATGTTTCCTGATCACAGGACAATACAATACATAAATGACTACGCCAGAAATATATACATTTATTGTGGAAGTCTTTTGCTGTAAGCAGAAGCAGCCATATTTCCCAAGTCCTCATGTTTCAAGTCCAAGTAAACGGATACTCAGTAGATTTACTTGTAAAATGAAGGAAATGGAAAATAAAATCTGACACGATATCATACAGCTTGAAAATATATGTATGTAGGGTATCAATATGACGACTTTGCAGTTTAGGTACTGACGGAGTATAAGCAGTGGTGCAAAGTATCTAACACTATGCAGCAGGTTAGCTCGAGCAGGTCACTGCTTGTAGAAATGGAGCTGGATTGAAATCCCTCCTCAGCAGCCTAGCACGTCTAAATGTCACAGTGCATTCTGCAGAAACCAGCGAGACAATCGGTTGCATTTTACAGTGCTTGTGTCAATCATAGTAGCATCTGCCTCTGGGTTTTATTTAGCAGTTGTCAGTTTGTAGAAAAAGGTGTTTAAATCTCCTCGAGGTATATGACTGTCTCGTCAGATCGGGTCTGTGTGTAAGAGGTGGTAGTAGGCTCTCTGTTGCCCTCCTGCACTGTGAATGTGGGATAGCACATGAGTGGATCTACAGTGGCCACTACAGGCTGTGGAGCACTCATACAGGATCAGCAGTACAGTACAGTAGGAAGTAGGCAAGGCCTGAGAAGAGAGGAGAGAGGCTGAACAAAGAGGCCACGACCCCAATCAGCATACACATGCATATACATGCATTTTTGGGGTTGGTGTTGTTTGTGCATGTGGTAAAATTATTGCACAAAAGCAAAATGTTCAAGGCTCAATAAGACAAATAATTACAGGCACATATGCTGATGCACTTACATGCATAATCACACATATCTAAATGCACAGCAAAGTCTGTAAACCTGCTTTTCCTCACTTCTCTCGCCATACATGGAAGCCATTAGTGCATTACCCCACTGACTACTGAGGATTGGGGGGCCATTTTATTCTCCCTGTGTTAATCAGGATGTCAGCTGGGAGTGTCACATGTAATTTAAACACAAAACCACAGCAACTCCACAGAGGCAGTGAGCACAGTCATAATGACATAATATTGGACGGGGTAAGAGTTTCAGGGGTGACAGATGATGTAGATTTTCCTCCCCCGTACCTCCCCCTCTTTTCCTGTAGATGTTAACATGGTGCTTTACATCATGGGCCCTTCGGCTGAGGTCAAGGTGTTTTTTTTTTTTTTTTTTCCTCAAGTTTATTTGCCCAAGAACAATTTTCTTATACATTTCCTGTACAATGCAAGTCTTACTGAGCATGTTAACAACTTTCTCAAGGGAATTATTTAGACATTCAACAGGCAGATTTCTTTCATCCAACCAGATTAATATTTAGAATATTTATTCAAATATAACTACATGTTTTCTTTACCTCTGACCAGGCGATGTTCAGGGTGTCAGTATGTGTTTCAGAGAGTCTTTAGTCTGTGGTCTGCAGCATCACATGTGAGCACACGTCGTCAGGACAGATACTTGTTTTATGTACCTGCCAGGCAAAGCGATATTCCAGATAACATTGAGCTGCGCCCACTCGACTTTTCTTTTCCAACGCTCATATATTTCCTCAGCTTTTGGCCTCTGCTGTCGCCAAGGCAATTTAGTCGGAGAAAAACTGCGGAATCAGCAAAATTGTTCCACTTGGAGGTAAAGTTGGAAGTGTTGAAAGGCCTCGCCTGCAACTCTCTGACTATCAAAATACTGTAAATCCCTTCCCTCACCTCACCTCCACTTCATCGCTTTCTTGCCGTTCATCAGCCCTGAGCTGAATGATGTCGGCTACATGTAGTGATGAAAGTAAATACCCTGGCTCGAGCTGTCTTTGTGTGATTCATTTTGGTACAGGAAAACGAATATTGAATATAGTATCTGCTTTGATATGTCATTACCTACATTTTCTTTTACTGATTTGACTGCAATTTTCCACTGATTTCTGTAGTACTGATTTCTGGTGTGTGATTCAGCACTCCAGTAATGTCTATATAGTCAGGTTTCGTTGCTTACACTGCTACACTGCAGCCTACCTAACAGGCATACTGCTGAACTTCCGTTTCAATTGTCAGAGGGAAATATTTTAGATAGATAAGTTCAAGTTAAAATTTAAGTTGGATAAGTTTTCATATATATACAGTATATATAGTGTTTTCTTACAGTACTTACAGCCTTTCATGTGGTATATACTCCTGTAGACTATCCCTTCTGCACGTACTCACCCAGGCTCCAGGCTTTATGAGTCATCAACATGCATATACACACAAACAACACTCACACACAGAGTGCAGTGAGTGCACCGCTCGGACATGAATCTCGCTCCACGGGCTGGAGGAGTTGGGTTACTCATGAGCCCATAAACATGTGCTGGCGGCGGTCCAAGGCACTGCACTGTAATTACAAACATTAGAAACAATATATAAAAGACCCTTCCCTGGCAAGGCTGTGTCCCGCGCTGTAATTAGCGTCCTTGTACAGAATTATCACCCTTCAACAGCCGCCGCCGCGCCGAGTGGAGGCCTTTAATTGGCAGTGTCCTCCTTGGTCTGCTAGAGGACGACGGTCGCGTCTCTCTTTATCTCTGTCACCCTCTTTATTTTCCTGCAATCTGAGATTTGACTAATCATGACTAACTACCTCTGCTGTCCTTTGTCCCATTTCACCTCCAAACAATGGTCCTCACATCGCACACATACATACACACATACATACATAAATACGGACTGGAAGACACGGGCACATGTGGAAAGCTGCCTCGTACATTGACTCTGCGCAGTCCGTACATGCCCTCATGTGTGAATGTGAACATACTGTGCCCGCATGTGCAGAAAATCACTTATTATGCTCACAAGTACACGCATATGCACCACTTCACCCACGCACATGACACTGTAGGCTTTCAGTAACACAGCATGCCAAAATGTGTGCACGTATGCAGCGAGTGGGTGCTACTGGGCAAGGCCAAGACCACGGCGGAGCTTGTGTGTTGGTGTTGGGTGAGCATGCGGCAGTGAGAGTTGGCCGGTGTACAGGCCAGCAGAGAGGGTGCGGTGTGTTACATGTTCCACTAATGAGTTTCCTTGGCCAGGCAAGACCGTGGGGCGAGCTTATTAGTAAACAGGCTACAGAGAGGAGACCCTACAGCCCTCTGCTGCTGCTGCTGCTGCTGCTGCTGTTGCTGTTGCTGCTGGCTCTCCAACTGATCACTCTCACTGTTTCTGCTTCTCTCTGTTGTTTTCTCTTTCTCTCTGTTTCTATCGCTGTAAATTGTCTCTCCCTTGGACGCTACAATTCTCACTCTCTCTTTCTCTCTCTCTCTCTCCGTGTCTCTCTCTCTCTCTCTCCCGCTTGTAGGCAGTAAGATGGGTTTTGACTCCAGCCACAGGCACAACCAATTTGGCCAACAAGTGAAATCACGGACAGACAGACTGGCGATCGCAGCAGCATTGTAAGTACCATAATGTATTGTAAATTGAATATGTTGTTATTTAATGATGTATTGTAATGCCACTGTGTTGTCTTGCATTTCATTTAATGAGATGAAGTTTGTAATTAGATGCTGCATAAGTTTCCTTTGTTTTATGCATGGCATGTATCTGCTCTGTCTACATCTATTTTCATTCTCTCTCTCAGACCTATTATAATGCAAGCCTGCATTAGATTAAATCATAATGGCTGAATATTGTGCCTTTATCCCATTTGAAAGGCCAAGTGGTCCCAATGGCTTGTTAGTGCAGTAGATAAAAAAAACAAAAAACAAAAAACAAACATAATCTTTAGTGCACGTGCACAGAAAACACACGGGGTGCAATCTTAATTGTCCACTAGGCATAGGAAGTCTTGACTCTCTCTGTGCCAGGGCCTGGATCTGTTAGAAAATGGCTTCCACTCTCTGCCTTCCAGCTCTCAGCTCCCCGCCGCCATTTTGTGAATCACTGCCAAAGTAGTCAGGTAGCAGTCTGAGAAGGACAGAGTGAAGTAGGGGAGAAAAAGTGGGTGCAACCGGATGCTGGTTGAAGCAGCAAATTAAAATAGACAGGGAGGAGCAAGAAGAATTGGAGAAAAGAGGTGCTCCGGTGTACAATGATAGAATATTTAATATGTCTTTTCCTTATGGAGAGGTTTTTAATTGTTGCCGACTGACTGCATACAAACAATCAGCCTCCCCTCTGGATCCTTCCCAGCTCCTCTTCTCAAAGAGCTGACCTTGGGTGGACGCCATAAACGGTTCTTTTCCAGTGGGGGCAAATGTGCTGGCAGGGCCCACAGCTGCATGACCCCCTTCCACCCACCCTCCACCCTCCATCCAGTCCTCCCTCTTTCCTCCACATCACCCAGACCCCAGCAGACCGGCCCCATAGTAACACAACCTGCCTGCTTACAGTACTCTAGAGCCAGGGTAAAGCTTTAACCTCTGCTTATGTACCTGTCTCCACCCTAACCACAGCGCACTGCTAGCCGTAGCTTCAAACCTGACTGCGCCTGTATCACATGCACTCAGTAACCCCAGGCCCCACCCTACAAAACTCCAGCAGCGGTAGCTAGCTGCCCGCGGCTCTGGAACTCTGTATGCGCCAGGCGTATGATTACATGTGCAGATGTTATTAAAATCCTCCTCTCATCTGACCCTAAGACCACTGATACTATATCAAGCTTTCAGTAGGCGTCTGCTGCTGCTTTTCCCCTGACCAGCCCATTGCTAAACTTACCTGACAAAGTCACACAAAATCATCCAGCGTTTTTAGAATGGGGAGCGAGGGGTTGTTTTCGCCAGTTGTGGTTTCTGTCATTTGACTCTACTGTTCCATCGAAATGAAATCATTTACTTAATATATCAGATGTAGCCGAGTTTGGAGCTTAGTGAGATCTATTTCAATTTAACAAATATTCATCTGTTGTACATCGATTTTTTTCCCTCCACATTCACAATTAATGGAATTAGCCTCTAAATGTTGAAAACAGTTCAAATGTTGTTCATTCTCTCACATATGAAGTAGTTTTACTTGCTTACTGTCACTCATGGTAGCACCTGAATTATTAACAAAGACACCGATTGCTTGGGTGTCTTGTGTTTGCAACTCAGCTGGTAAACTGACCAGTGTGCCAACCTCTTACAACATTTGGTGCCTTCTTTTTAAAGAATTGTAGAAGACATCAACATATATTTACGTAACAAACGCACATAAAAGTTGACCTAAAACGTAGTGACAGCTTACTCAGAGAAATGGCACAAGTGTATATATGGGTACTATATCTGTTTATGGCCTGAAGTGATGTTGTAAAGAACCCCTCGCTGTATCAGTGTGTATCTGCTGGCATGTAACTGATTTAGACTCTGGGTGCAAAATATAGCAGAGGTCCCTCCAGCAGTAAAACCTGGCCTATTTAGGCCTGTCACAGACAAGCTCTCATTGAGACAGACAGACAGTCAATGGCTTTGCTTACAGTTCAGAATGCACTCTGTTCCCTTTGGCTCTCCACTCCTTAATCTGGCCATGTGTTTGCATATGGGACAGAGTGGCCTCCATATTGTGTTTGTGGAATGAATTATGAATGCTATTGCATGACCGTGGCCTGTTTCTAGGACATATCTCTGCAACATCTACCAAGAGACTAAAGCATGAATACATTTATCCGCCATAGACCCCTTGGAAATGATACTGTGAAGCTGGCCTGCCTGCGTTTGTTTATGGTTATATAGAGCAGATGGCCGTGCAACATGGTCATATATCACACACTGGCTGCCTCGCTGGCACTGCCACACACACAAATGCTTATAGGCAGAAATGTAGGACTATTTGAAGGTGATTCAAATCCACAGAAATGTATTCATTATTCTTCTGTCACTCACAGAGGGAGAAGTATTAAATATCTTTATCAGCGTCCATTACTGTATATTCCACTTCATGCTGGCAGCAGTCCTGGAACTATAGGCACTGGTGCTAATAACTGCTGCCAAACCAAGCTTTTCAATGCTAACTGTGGTTAGCTGTGCTGTATTTACAGCCGTAGCTTTCAGCTGTAACTGCTAACCACTGTAGTGAGTCTGACTACAGCCAGCTGTAGCCTGGGGGCAACAAGCTCTTCAAGGTTACAAACTGTACAGATCCCTGTCTGCTTACTCTGGCCCTCTGTCTGTCAGCTGAAGTTCATATCCAGGGAGAAAGGTATTTGTCCCACCCTCTAAATATAGCTGGTGACAGATGCAGCTCGATGGGGCACTGCCCAAGCTGAAAGGGGCCCTGCAGGCAGGCCAGAGCAGAGCTGGGCATGCAGACGTGTGAGGACTATAGACTTCCCCTAATAGACAGGGGCCCTACAGGTCACCAGCAGCCACATGGCAATGCACGTTTCACCAGCTCCCATTAGCATGGCGGAGCAAAGACTATGCCTGTGAATACCTTAGAAAACAATAGATAATATTTGGTTTCTATGCGATGAATATTGAAATACTGCATTGTAGGAACATATTTTTGCCTGTGGTTATAGTATGGAAAGCCATTAAAGCAAAGATCTCCTGATATAAAAATGTAATGGCGAAGAAAAAAACAAAAATCCATGTTTTAACTTCTTATGATTGAGGTAAGTGTCCTTGGTTTAATCATCAGCTATGAATGTAGTCTTTTCAGCCTATAGGCTTGAGTACCATGAGCGTTAATGAGTATCATGATGGAAACTGTTAAAAGGCATCGTGGTTTAGGCGTCATGATATTTATTGCAATTGTAATAGACACCTGCGAACCCTTCATAAACAAGTCATTTCCATGTAGACCTTTCTGCAGGCCTGCGCCCTGCTGTGCATCCTGCAGCCTCACCATGTCTGTGTGCACGCACATGCATGCGAGTGTGTGTATGTTTCTCTATGTACATGTGACTATATACTGTGTGTGAGAGATGAGAAGCAGCTGGCAAGGTTGGGCTGAGTGGTCTGGGCGACCCCCGCTGCGTGCCCTGTCATTACAATGATTGGGGTCGTTTTTTACCTCTAAGGATGGGGCCGGGGGGCCGCACTGGGATCAGCTAACTTTGCCTTATCCAGCCCTCTTCACCTGGCATGTTTATGGTTCTGCTGGGGGATGGGGTGGGTCACTGGGTCCGGTTCATCTCACAGCCTGACAGGCAGACACACATATTATGCACATAGGCGTGAGTACATGCATACTCCATCACACATGTATACACATGTTGATCTGCACACACAAACACCACACACACACATGCACACATACACAAGTGCATACATTATGCATGCATTAATGCAAACATGTAGCCCCATGTGCACACATAGGCACATACATCAAACACCTTCGTACGCACCCATAAATTGCCTTTTCTCTCACTCTCCTAAGACACACTCACACAAGCTCAATATCTGCCTCATGCAGAGGTGACGGGGAGGTCAGCCTGTCTGACTTTGAGCAGAATCCCCCTGTGGCTTGCCCCAGCCATCCCCCCTGGCATGTGTAACAGGACCTGCCCATGCAGCCTCTCCTCTTCCCCCGCTCCTGTCCTCCCCCTCCTCCCCCTGCCTCCCCCTAGCCCTGGTATAAATAGATGGGTCATGCCTGCTGTGCTACCCTGAGGGGGCTGTGGGGGGGCACAGAAGCCATGCTTCCCTTTATAAATGCTCCACCGTGTCTATCTGGATTCCTCCTGTCTGCGCCCAGACACCACTTCACTTGTAGCAGGGCTCACATGTAGTTGGACAAAAGAAAAATGCATGCACACAATCACATGCATATACCTATACCTATACCACATCCCTGATATAAAGGAAGCCATATAGCACATATACTGGGTATACTTGCAAAAATCAACCATAAGCACTTACATAATCTTGTGGAGCCAAAAGGCATCCACACAGGCTCGGCTATGAGGCAATGGGTAAATCTGAGGGAGAGTCAGAAGAAGAGTGCCTTTTCCTGAAAGTTAAGTGCTTAACTAAAGATCAAGGGTGAGCTACAGTGAACAGACACTGGAGATCATTTGAATTTTTACCTAAATTAGTGCCAATCCAAAACCTGTTTTTTGGTATAAATACCCACAAACCCCCTAAAACGCAAAGCTCAAGTGGCTCAAAAATCTCCTTAATGAAATTGTCTAAATATGGCAAAATTATGACATAATGTCTGATTTTAGAATAAGTAAAAGACCATGAATCTCACTAGAAATGTGATGCCAACTTTCTGCACTTGATATTTTTGCAATACTCCATGCTACAGACACATCTCTGTCCACCTGAATGTATTGAGGTTTGATACAAAGCCTTGTTTTTGCGAGGACTTTTTCACAAAAGATCCTGATCTATCCAGGTACAACCTGGACCCCATAGACTAAACTAATGATTCAATGGTAATGTTTTTTAATCACAGCGTCAGAGATGAGTAGAAATATTTGCATTGGGAATATGGGGATGCATATTGTGTAAATGTCCAGCTTCTTTTTCCGAATCACCCGCCGTACTGACTGACCACAGACCGCCAGAACCCCAAAGATCAGGTTACAAGGTTACAGTACTCCACTCCATCTGACTATCACTGCAGTGAAAGTCAGCTTTGGTATTGATTGATAGGCACTGTAGCACTTAGACTGAAGTGTGATTGAATTAAGGTGGCTTTTTAAGCAGTGCGTGTCTTTGCTGCAAACGACGTGTGAAAATGTGATGAGGTAAATGAATATCACGTTTTACCTTATTCCCTCCAAAGGGTATTTTTCCATGTTTGTGTGTCATTGTGTGTGTGTGTGTGTGTGTGTGTGTGTGTGTGTGTGTGTGTGTGTGTGTGTGTGTGTGTGTGTGTGTGTGTGTGTGTGTGTGTGTGTGTGTGTGAATTTGAAACTGTGTCCTTGTGTGTGTGTATGTATTTGTTTATGTGTTTGTGTGTGCATGCCCCACAGTGCGGATATGTGTTTGTGTGACATTATGAGACGCTGAAGTGTAGTAAGCACGACTTTGCACCCCGGCTCCTCTCAACAGCTAATGGAGGTGGAGGGCTAAAGCAGCGTATCAGTTACAGACGCTGTGCTTTCAAGTGAAGGAGTGCTTGCTGAGTTTGCACACTTTTAAGAAGGCTGAATTTTTTAGGTGGACAAGCTCTTAGTAAAGGAGGTGTTTTTAGATTGAATTACATAACTGTGTAAAGAGCCCTAAACAAGTGTGCACAAGGGTACATGCCTGTGTGTGTGTGTGTGTGTGGGTGTGTGTGTGTGTGTGTGTGGGTGTGTGTGTGTGTGTGCGCGCGTGCATGCTTGCGTTGCATATTGGTCCTCTGCAGTACGTGTGTGTGGGTGCGAGTGTGAATATTTCCCTGTCACTGGATGATAGCAACTGGCTGCACTTGAAAGCAATAGCTTTCCTGGACATCCTCTCTGTTGGTCAGGACCCCATAGCCATCTACTATATTAGATTGAAGTATGTCCAGTCAGCAGACTGAGAGGACAGTGTGCCTTGACCTTACCTTATGAAGTCTGGGCCCACACTATTAAGCTTTTTGCAGGTCTGCACAATGAGAATAGACTGTGACATGAACACTGATATGCACTCCGCAGAGCTGACAGTTTCCCATATGTAGTTACTGTTTAAGCATGTAAATCAAAACATATTAAAAATTGCTCGATTTGAATATGACGGAAGTTTCTCTAATGTGCAACATCATTTGAATGTCCTGCAAAACAGTAATCTAATGCTTCGAGCACCTTTCAAGAAAGATATGTAAATAGTAAATTTGTTTCGGTCTGTTTGATTTTAATTTAATACAATTAGCTCGAAATGAATTCTATTCTAAGTAAATACACTCCCTGTACAGTATCCTCTATGTGGCTCTTTTTCTTTCTGTCATTATCCTGTGCATGTGTAAACGTATGTGTGTGTGTGTGTGCATACTGTAGGTTGCCATACTGTATCCTTCCTTCTCTCTGTCTCTGTATGCAAAGTGTCTGTGTGCTCCTCTGTGTGTCTCTTACCCTGTAAGGGTGTGTGTCTGCGCATACTTAAAATGCACTCATCCAGTGCTACGGTGTAAGTAAAGCAGTGCTGAATAATGCAGAGAGCCTCAGAGTCACTACTGAGCAGAAACAATTGGGCCCCGCAGCTCAAGACATACCTTTTTGTATTGTGCCGTGCTGTATTTGTGCCTTCACACGTAGAATAATATTACTGTAGAGGTGTGTGCTGACAAAGATTAACCTGATGTCACTTTGTGTCAGCATCTTGTGACAGCTAAACATGTGGGATGGTGTGGCTTTCTCACAGAACAAACAGAACACCTGCACTCACACATAAATCATCTTCTTGTTTAATGTGGGCAAAACAACAAACGTTTCTCAGCTATAAGCCTTGATCAGCATAGTGCACACTGATCATGGCCTATAGTCGGGCAAACAGCACGTTCACCGGCATTCTGTTTGTTCTGTTTAGATAGGAACGACCATGCACCTGATAGATTGCTGGAGTATTTGGATTTGTGCACGCTGCTACTGTCTAATATTTCTCACAGAACACACAAGTATGAGTCATACAGAATTTCATACAAGCATGCTGTAAACACACATAACCACATACTCAAATTGCAAGTAAACAATATGCTTTCACCTGAGAACCCAAAACACTCTCGTACTGACTGTCAGCCGCTGGGGTGTTTGCAATTCATCTCACAGAAGTCAAATGTAGAAGTCACAGTGCTGAAGTATTTCTACATTTCCTTTGGTGCAGAAGTAACAGATTTTCCCTCTCGGGGATTTTCAGATGGAGGCTACCTGACATGCTGCTGAAACCGTGATGGAGGCAGGAGGCGATCGGCCAGTGTGTCCCTCCCCCCCGCTCTCTCTCTCTCTCTCGCCCCCCCCCCTCTCCTTCGCTGCGTGTTACAGAGCAGGTGAGAAACATTAACAGAGGCAGCAGCAGCTGTGGCCCTCTGCTCCGCACATGTGGGCCAGGATATGAGCTATAGCTCGAGCTCGCCCACTCTCAACACTGGTCACTGATGTTAACACTCTCCTCTCTGAAGCACAGAAAACTGCACTAAAAAAAAAAAGTGGAAACATGGTGGTGGAATCAGCACCGACTGCTATTCAAAATAAAACCACTTATATATATTGTTGTGAACAGTGATGCTTAGCTTTACGGCAGCGGTTCACAAACGTTTTGGCTGGTGACCTTTTATTGTAAAGTTATATCTACTTGCGACCTCATGTCACAGGTTGCATTTGAGTTGTACATGTTGCATGGGTTGCAAGCTGTTCAAGCAGAGAGAGATTTGTTTGTTTAATTTGAATCATTTTTAGAATAAAACTAAGTACTTCACAATAAAAAAAAAGAAAAAAAAAAGAAAAAATTAAAGACTCAAAAAAACAAAATTTGCAGAGACATGTTTCATTAACAAAATTATTTCTGTCTTTTGAATCATTACTTGGCCTCATGTAAGGTCCCAACCTGCAAGCTGGGAACCAAATCTGTCGAGTGATAACAACCTCATTTTCCACCATCTTTCAGCACTGATCACAGGCCTACTGAACACTGAGCAAAGCATGGTTTTTTGGACAGTATTTAATGAATGGAACATTGCATTTTAATAGTTTTGAGGTTCAACTATTTCTTAGTAAAATCCTAATTTTTGATGTCACTGCCCCCCCCCCCCAAGTTTTATATTGGTTGCATTTCAATATGGAAATATCTTGGCTACAGTATTTGTTTGGGACATGCGCGCCTTGTTAGATCATTTGAATCCCTCTTGAGCTCGAGCCATGAACCGGATGACCCTGTCGTCACATTGTGTTCTGAACACACAGACTCCAGTCACACCGGTGAGGTGTCCCAGAGGAGAGTGGCATGTGTGTTTGTGTTTCTGTGAATCATAACCGCTGTTTTGTATTCAGTGAGGTGTGTCAAAGTGGATTACCTGCATGAACGGGGACCTGAAAGGACTTTGTTTTTTAAAGACTGTCCTTTGGGGTGAGGTAGTAGGTTGTATAGTTTTAGGGTGATACCCTTCCTGTCAGATAACTATACAACTTACTGTCTTTCCTGAAGTGGCTGTAATGTCTTCAGATGCCATTGTTGGAGCTTTTGGATCTGGATCAACACTGGAATGTGCATGTTTACCCACTGACTGCTAAGAACATAACCCAGTCGCAGAATTTGATAGTTAATTTAGGTAGGCTTTTCATGGTTGTACTTTTAAGAATTTATGGTGAATAAAAAAACGTGTTATGTGTCATGTTGTTATGTCTTGCTGGTCAATCAACACAAAAACTGAAGATGTTCTTATCTAATTGTCACCCCTTTTCTTTAGCTGTGGTTTCTAACAGTTCCTTATTCTTTTTTTTTTTTAGGATGTGTTGCTCTTTTCCTCAAACTAATTGATTCTGATTGCTTGTATTGTTTGTGTTTTAGACATTAAAACTCAAATCATGGCAGTTTTGATATGAAGTTTGTTTTCATTGTCACAATGTATGAGGATGTGTTTATTTACCATAATAAAATATAGTGTTTCTATGTCACCCTACCATAATACTCTAGAGTACCAGCTACACCAAAGCTTGCCGACCTGTAGGACCTTTCTGATGTTCGTACGGGGTGAGGTAGTAGGTTGTGTGGTTTCAGGGTAGTGATTTTGCCCAATCAGGAGATAACTATACAACCTACTGCCTTCCCTGAAGGGCAGCAATCCTTCAACATACAGACAACAGGGGGTTGAGTCATCAAGCCATCTCTTAGCTGGACCATAGGCATCCACAGCCAGTCAAAGCAGCGGGTCCTGTCTGCTGCTATGACAGGACCAGCAGGTAAATGGAATTTCTGTTTGCTTTTGATTTTCTGCCTCAAACAATAATAAAAAAAATTAAATACAGAATCAAGTTTGTCTTTGATGTTTTGTTCTTACATCCTATGAGTGTCAATTTCAATGTTTAAAACTTTGAGACTTGTTTGTAGTTGATCTACTGCATTGGGGCCAAATGTTTTCCAAGGCACAGTCATTTCTGTGATGAAGTTTACATACAGTTTATATTACAATCGAGGTCACTCTCTTCCAATGAAATCCAGAACTGAATATCGGCTACCAAACTCAGTGTATTCAGTCTACGAGCCTGTGTTGAACATACCCAAACACATTTATCATTGTTTGTTGGCTGAGAAAACATTGGAAATATGTGTGAAAAAGCCCGACTTGACTACCTCCATCCAGTCCTGGGATCAGCCAGCAGCCCCAGACATGTCGTAAAGCCCCAGAGCAGAGCAGATGGAAAGAGGAGCCATGGCACAATCTCACCTCCTGGGCTACAGCATGATTCATATGGCAACAGATGATGGTTACAGTACTCTCTCACTCTCCGGCCAACAGCACACATAAATACGCACATACTCAGATAGATGACAAGGTGAGTGCCAGCCGGTATCAGGCCAACTTGGGCATCGGACTTGCCTCACTGTCTGAGACTGCGGCCCCGTATCTCATATCAAGGTCAGATTTGGGGTTGTCATTCACGGTGAGAGCCCTCGCTCACCCCTGTATGTTCACTCCACAGTCATATAACCGGTTATCAACTTTATGTCGGAGGTAACAAGCGTTTTACTATGAATATGCATGTACAGACACATTCGAAGCCCACTGTGCACACTTACGCCTCCTCAGTTTGCACATATTTTGTCCTTCACTTTGCATGTCGTAGTTTCACACATATCAGTCATACCAGGCGTGCTGAACTAGTTACATATTCGCCAAATGTTTCTGACACAATGAAAAGGATTATGTGACAGTAACATTGCAGCGTGGGAAAAAAAAAAATCTACCACTGTACTGTGTCCCATGTGTCTAGACCAGTGTTGGGGAGTATTCGTATGTGGGCTGCACCCACTGTGTTAGCTGTCCTCTGCCAGCCACCATATTGAACTGATTTGAGCCTTGGCCTTGGTGATAGAGCAAAGTGAGCTGAATATTAAGCCCGATGAGACAATGGATCTGTGTGTATCCTGTCTCTGGGGTTGCATCTCTAAAGGCCATCCTCCATCCTTCATCTCCTGCCTCACTGCTTCACCAAAAAAAAAACGTTGCAAAAAGCTTTGACGTCCACCCTGGGGAATTCTTTTCCCATGCAATAAGGAGCTAATGAATAGCTTTTGAGACTCAGTCTGAAACGTATCAGTCAGAATTCAATAATATACTGTTGTTTTATCAAAACTTGCCAGGAATTTGAAAAGAATAGCACTCACAGCAGAGCTTTTCTAAGCCTTCATATGATGTCATAGCTGTATAAATGGAATAATATTATTGATCGAATGTAAGTGGATAGGATTGAAGGCTCGGTGTGGGCAGGCCTCTCAAATAAACCACCGAGCAGAGTGCATTCACTGAAATGAAGAAGCACTAAGCCTGCATCGAAATAGATTCAGCAATGTTAATCTGTGCCACGCTGATTAGAAAATGCGCCATTCGTTATGAAATATAGGGCAAGGAAATGAAATGAGTCGTTTCTATAGCAATGGTATTTATTCCATATTCATATTTAGATTTCCTGCACCTAGAAACACACTATTTTAATATAACTGATCACCAGTATAACTTCCATTATGTTATAGATGTGGCAAAAGTGCCACCTAGTGGACATTTGATATTCTTCATATACAATTTTTTGGCACTGTAGTATCATCATTCTGTTTCTCCACATTGCAATTGAACTATGGTTGTATCTATATACTTCTACGATGATTATTTTCGTTAGTAATCTGTTAATAAATCATGTGGTCGAAGAACAGAGAATCACAAAAACCCTGGTGATGTCATCAAATGTCTTGTTTGGTTCAACCAACAGTACACAGTAGATAAAGAAGATATAGAGGATAAGGATTTTCAATTTACTGTAATGCAAAATTAGCAAATTCTTAGAACCCGGAGTTGATCAAATGTAAAAAATGACAATAAATTGTATAAGTTTCGTTGGTTCATTTTCTATTCAATTTATAAACGTTTATTTATCTCTATTTTCCCTTTATTTCTAAAATCCAAATCAACAGTCTGCAGATAGAGGGTGCTGTAAAGCCATTTGAGGCAAATTTGTGATTTTCATTGACATATATAAAATTGACTTGATATGGCAGATATTAAGTATATAAGTAATATCGAGTAAATAATCAAACATTTATTTTGATGTAGGTAATTCATTATTCATAGCAGTCAGTCTGCTGCCTCTTGAATGAATATCTCACATTGTAGTGAGGAGCTGACGCAGGTGATGTAACCGCCATCTGCAGTCTTTCAGCAGCAGGTGGCAGCAGAGGTCCGTCTGCTGTTGAGCCTCCACAGTGACCCACTTCCTGTACGTCAGTGGGTCAACATGTCAGCCCTTTTCAAAAGCAGTGCATGCAAGTTCCCCATATACCTCAGACTTGTTTTACATGAAGCTACGACTTTATATGTGACTGGAAACATGTAGGTTGAGAAAATAAATGTCTGAGATGTGGTTTAAAAGTTTGATTTGACTAATGTAGGCTAAATAGTAGGGTTCAATGTCATACACCATCGTTGTAATTACCCTAGAGTAACACACTGCATCAATATTAACACCAGCATAATCATATTTGCGTTCTTGTTCATTCCATTTCATCGCAACAAATGCTTTCCAGTATATTACGGTTAATAAAACAGGCGATGGAGCAGTGAGTCTTCCCCTAAACTGAAACTCTAATGATGATGAGTGTCCTTTTTATAACCATAAATTGCTTAATCAAGTTTTTGTTTCTTCATGGCCTGTTTTACTACAGCTTGGTTCAGTGCAGGGGCAAACATGTTGTAAGTGAATGGGGCAGTTGTCATTATATTATATCGATGTGGAAAGCATTCTGAGTCCCCCATTAATTGGGAAACCAGCTGCTGTCCAGACAGAAAGTCTTGACCGTAGCTCATTACTGTGGACTCTGTTTCTGTCTGCTCTCATGAGTCGTGTTGCAACGAGCCGTATCTTCTGAGTCTAATGTTTCTCCATGTCCTCCTCACATGGAGAAATCACCGGCAGCTGTGGAGAAGCTCAGTGCGGTGGAGCTGACATCTGCGTGGGTGTGCATTTGAGTGTCGTCCGTAACTGCGGGATTTTGCGTTGATTGATTTAATATTTAATGTAGAGCTGAATTATATGTTTCCGCCTGACCCTCAGAGATCTGTTGCAACTACCACAGCTGTAGCGGTGGAGTGTAACAAAGTACACTTAGTCAATTCTGTATTTAAGCACAGTGTTTAGGCGCTTGTACTTTACTGCTCATTACTGAACTTCTCATTGAAGGCCGCTCTATATTTCAACTCTGCTGAATTTCATAAGGAAATATTGTAAATTTTACTCCACTATATTTATTTGAAAGCTGGAGTTAATAGTTACTTTGCAGATTAAGATTTTACATATCATCAGCTTGTTAAATTCGATCCTTTGTTGTAGATTAAATACTCTGACTTCCTTCCACATGCAGGTCAGGTTTTATGGAGCTTTCAACGTTAGCATGCCGTTTTCATTGCAGGGATTATTTCATCAAACTGATATTTCTAAGCTCAAGACTGAACTTCAGTGTTTAACATTATAATAAAACTTTTACAGATAAAACTTTTATGGATGAAGTTAGCTGGTCTGACGACAGATCAATTTCCAACTGAGCAAACTCCATCCACTGATGAAAATCTTATGGGAATATGGTTGAAAGCTTCAACTTTCAGTTTGAAATATTTTGGATTGTTTTGTCAGACGACTATTTCCAAGGTCAATAATGAACTTAGGTGCTAAGCACATAAACTGTCTCACCTCACCTTGACCAACTTCTGTAGATCGTTAGTTTAATGTTTCTTACTGATGTTTGTGAAACATCGAACTTGAATAGACGAGTCAATTACTGGGTTTTTACACAAAGATTTTACAAAGAATCTCCTTTTGTGATGAAGTGAAGCATTGCCGGTGGAGAAATTTTACTTTCCTTACCTCTAACTCCGCAACGAGATGATATAAGTGTGTGGTTTAAAGACTCTTTGTCCGGGCGTATTCTGGCTGAAATGGGCCTCAAACCCAGATTCTCCAGTTGGATCCTTTAGAATCTGATCCACCGTTTGTTGAAAAGACATTTTTTACAGATTCCCTTTATCCACTACATCTGAAGAGAGTCGTCTTCCTCAAGTATGTGTGTGTTTGTTGAGTGAGTGGAAAGAAAGTCAGTACATTTACTCAAGCACTGTGCTTCAGTACAGCTGGACAAAACTAAAATCTGATGTACTTTACGTGTTGTATTTGAATCATTTTCACCACTAGTTCACAAAAGCTCAGAGGGAGATATTGTACCTTGGACTCCACCTCAGTTTATGAAAGCTACAGTTAATGGTTACTTGGCAAGTAAAGATTTAGGTGCAAAACAGATGATGAGCTTATACATTATGCATATGTCGCTTTTTTCTAGGTTATAATCCAACAGTAAAAGCTGTTGCTTCACTTCAACCAGTTACAACATTAAAATGCCGCTCACATGATGAGGCAGCCATCGCTAAAATTTCAAATGATTGTTTTCTATATCGTGGGATTTCCACTTCTACCTAAGTAAAGGATCTGAATACTTCTTCCACCTCGATGCATGTAAGTGCTGAGTGAACGTGGAGGTTCGGAAGGATCCACTGTGGTCCCAGGACACTTTAGAAACGACGCCCACATTGCTTTTGCCAAAGACACAGACAGAATGTGATGGGGAGCAGGATGGGGAAACAAGAGAGCAGAGAGTTGCAATCGGCACACACATACACACACACACATACACACACACACACACACACACGCAAAGAGCAGCACAGTCAGCATCTGGCACGAGCTTGGAAAACGGAGCCGCTTCATTAATAAGGCAGTTTATTGCAACAGTTTGACTGGAAACCCTCACAACTTGGCCTAGTGTCAGTGTGGAACAGGGTTTTCTCCAGCTGCCATGTAATTCTGCTGATAAGCACATCATTTTCTTATTCACAGTTAGCAGGACCATGTGCTGGTCAAGGTCTCGTAAACTACATCTCATGCTGCCAAGGCATCTGGATCAGAGAACTGTTTGACCAACTAAAATCTTTTCAGACCTCAGTTCTATAGTTTCCACATGACAAGACATGTATACAAACAAAAATATGCTAATGCCCTACATTGCAACACGCGCTTTGCTTAGTGCTTGATTTGGATGTTTGAGCTTCGCTGCACAGAAGAACCTTTGCACGTTCATCTACTGAAGGGGACGTGAGTTTGTGACATGAAGCTCAGAGGTCAATCCCGCTTCTTACACAAGTGTGGTATGGAAACCAGAAACCTCCCGTGCACTCACAAACTGAGGATGGACTTTTCAGTGAAGTAGGAGACATCTTGCATACAGCAGTTGAACTTTCGCAACAACAAAATATATGTGCACATTCAAAGATTCTGTATTTTTTGTTTGTGGGGGGAAAAAAAATCATATCAGACTATAATTATTATTCAAATCATTGTGACACTGTGTTCAACTTTCTAATAAAATATGAACGATTAAGAAATGCTATTCTGCACAAAATGAAAGAGAATATATATATATATATATATATATATAATCATGCACAGACTGGATACACTCTGTATAGACTGTCCATCATACTTAACTCCACCTCAACAATTTACAACATATAAATACCAATTACATGTTATTGCATTAATAACAATGCCATAATGATACAATAATATAACACACAGGAGGCATGCACACAGTGTTGTGTCGTTCTTTTACTTTTCTTAGTGTACATGTTGCTCATGATATTTCTGTACTTTCACGTAAAATCAAATTCTGAGTGCAGGTCTTTGTGATGGAGTAGTTTTATAATATGGTGCTGCTACTCTGCTTAAATGAACTGAATACATCTCCCACCACTCTGGTACTGTGCACACTTGCCTGCCCTACGTTGTTTATTTTTGTTTATCTTTGTTGTCTTTATGCAGCACTGCAGCACTTGGCCAATAAAACCTATTCTGATTCTGAAATAACTGCTTGTCATTGAGACATGTCATATTTAATTTGCTTTTTTTTGTTTATGCTTTGGCAACATGTTGTGTGATCAGGAATTTATGCCAATAAAGCTTCAGTGAATTAAATTAAATGAAGTGAATTGGGAGCACAAGTGAAGGAGGCACTTGGATGACCCAAGGAAGGTCATCTGAGGACAGTTCCGCGGGTATGTAAATTTTGCCAGCATGAATTCACTCAGTTCAACATCATCCTGTACTTGAACCCTCTGTTTTTGCAGCGTCTTTCTGTTCTCTTTCAATGGTCTTAGTTTGAACAGAGCACGTTCACAGGAAGAGTCTTCTTCCGCTCCCCTCAGCTGTCACCATGGTTAGGGGGCGTCCTTTCTCTAGAGAAACTGCTGCTCTCTTTCTATTCGCCGAAACTATAGGTGTGTCAGGGGGGTGTGCGCCTTTTCTCTCTGCCAGCTGTCAGTCATGAGGTCACTTCCTGCGGGTGTGATCTCACGGCTCCGCTTTGTATGGACGTGGTGGGGGATTTTTTTGACAGCGGCAGCGCTGTTGGGAAACAAACAAGGACGTGGGTCGGGGTTGGGGACTATTTTTTCCCCTCCTCGCTCCTCTCTCGATCTTGCACCAACCGCTTCTCATCCCTGCGAGATTACCGAGGATATGGCGGCTTCGGACTCGGCAGTTTATTGCAAGGTAGATGTCTTCATTTGGCTTTTTATTCAAGAAGTGCACCCTCCTCCTCCTCTCCTGCTGCTGCTGCTGCTGCTGCAGCGGCGGCGGCGGCGGCAGCAGCTGAGAGACTGTCTGTAAGGGAATTTTGTTGTGGGGCAAAGAGGTGGCTGCAGCCTAGAAACAGCGCGTGTTTTAGACTGAGTCCGGTATGCAGCGCCAAACCTGCACACGATTGTTCACAGGCACCTGGGGCTCGTGAATACATTCTTCACGGATTGCAAGACCATTGTTATTGTATGGAGGTAGGCTAATATGATTTCAGTTTGCACGCCTGCGCAGCTAGAGGGTCCCTTGCTCATCAATACGCAACATCTCCCCTGGATGTGAGCTATTTATTAGTTACTTACACAATGGCTATGTATTTGCTCGTTGTCGCGCCCTATTACTATAATAGCGGTTATGAAGCGGATGTCGATTGCTTATAGGACTTTGCTCAGTTAAAGGGTCAATGCTGTGTGACACATTAAGCAGCGTGCACGTCAAAAAAAAACCCAAAACAAAACAAAAAACAAAACATGTACAAACACTGTTTCAATCCGGTCCAGACATGTTGCTCTATCTGCTAGAGGCACGTGCATGACACCTGCATGCGGTCTCTTCAGTGTAAATATTGTTTCATGATAGAGATGGAGGAAAGTTGTGATTGAACTGTTGAAATCACAGATTGTTTATTGTTGCTAATGATCTGTGTCCAGCACTTCAGCAGCATAAACTGTGACATGCGTTGAAGCGAATGGGTGAGGCGGTGGTTATGTAGCTGCAGGTGCTATGACCTAACTCCTTAAGTAACCCTGAGGCATTTCTCCCTCTCCCTTCTCTCTGCCTCAGTGACTCCTTCTCTGCTCCTTGTTGGGAACATGCAGAGCTTTCACATGACTGCCAGGCAAAGTCACAGCCAACGCAAGTGTGTAACATAATTATTCATTCATTCATTCATTATCATTAATGCTGACACAACACTGTGAGCGTGGTGTTCTGCAGCTCAATGATTTAGTTTTTAGTCATGAGAAAGCTCACCGCCTTGCAACCCTCATTTCTGAATAAAGCTGTTTCTGTGAAAGTGAAATTTGACCCAAATCCTTTACATGTCCCGTCCTCCTGAACAATGCAGGAATACAAGCCTTTCTCTATCCCCAGGTAGAGGGATCCTATGTGTAATTTCAGTTGTCTACTCTTATAACTGTCCAGTGCGTATTTGTCATAGATTAAAATTCCTTCAGTGGGGTCATGAATGTTGGAAGGGCTTCCACAGTTAATGCGCTTGACACCTCATGTTTTATTTTTCCTTTGTGGCATTAATTGTAAATTGATATTGGGACTGACTGGATGCCACAGTGATGAAGGTTTGTTTGTGTATTAAATGGCGAGAAGAGACTTGCGTTGTTAGCTGAGATTGGAAAGCTGCTCTCTGCTGACACCCCTTTCTAAAAGTGAGACTGATCTGACGGCAGATGCTAAATCACTCTTCTAAACACACTGAGATTCAGCTCAGTCCCGTGTGCGAGGCTTTTACCTGTATTTGCTAACACTTAAAGCCGGTCTCCACATTGACGTAGCATTTACCTTGGGATCAAAGGTCTGCAGTCAGAACCATTTTTTACTCAGCTTATCGTACTGGTGAGTGTTGCTAAAAGTCCATTAAAAATCACATAGGATTTGACACAGCCTCGCACAGAGTGGCAGTGGTTTTTTTTTTGTGTTGACGGAGTGAAGCCAATTGAAAACATCACGGTGAATATTTTTAAGACTGAAGAATAAATCGCTTCATAGGCTAAAAATGTTCCAAGAGATAACATCAAAATGGGCACACCAAACCCTGGTCAAATAGTAATTGCAAATAAGGTTGTTGTTTTTTTTGTACTTGCTGGTGAATACCAAGTGGGTGGGGTGACCGGGGGTGTCTGATACATCTCAATTATTTCAGAAATGCAGGGAAGTAAATATAAAAGCTTTTCTTGTGGTTAACGGAACACAGTGATGAGGTCCACCTGTGCTTTCTTTATTCCAGGCGGACCTCACTCAGAAGCATGTGGATCTTACTCTGTTTGCGGGAGTGGCCCTGTTTTATATTTTCTTTCAGTTCTTATCACTGCCTGTAATTCATCATCTCAATTTAACTATAGCAATCGGAGGAACACAAAGCAGTCGAGATAGTCTTATCTCTTGTGCACAGTGCATGAAAAATGTCTCCAGACACAAACCGTCAGAGCCACTGCTCAGACGAGTGCTTCTTTAAATCAGCCTTAAGGGAGGTTGCGCTGCTGTTGTTTTTACTGTAGCTAGTTTCTCCTGCGGCACACTGACAGTTTTGTCTCCAGGCACCTGAGACCTTTAATCTGCTTCTGCTCGGTTGCATTCACACCCTGGAAAGACGGGCTTTCAGACGCAGAAACATTCTCATGATATCAGTGTACAACGATGGTTTCTTGACTTCATAGACATTGCAAACATGGAGCACTTGGCTGCGAACATGCACCAGGCAAAAAGAGAAAACATTTGACGCTGGAAAACAAGCGATTACTATAATAAAATCATTAATATAACTGTTATTTGTGTGCATGCGGTCCAGGTTGGGTGGGTGGGGTGGGAAGGAGTCAAATGCAGGATATGGGGAAGATTGCTAAACAATTTTGCGCTGATTCATTCATGGACATTATTGATAACTTTTATCTACATTATTTGTGATCTGTCAACTTGTAACCCCACCCTTTATATAATTATGTTTAAATACCAGATAAAGAATTGACCACATTGGAAAGAAACAAGAGCGGAGAGAGAGAGAGAGGCAGATTTTTCTCCTCTCTGCTCCTCAAACAGGACTTTCAGGTTCTTCCCCCAGCTGAACAGTCTTGAGAGTTTATCATTTGTCTCCGTCATGTCTGTCGGGCCTTCTGCAAAGGTGTACTGAAAGTATGTTTAGCAACGAGAACCTAGTTCCAGTGACCTGTTTCTCCACAGATGGCAAGAGGAGCAATGCTAACACTGGGCATAGTTTGGAGAGAATTAGTCAAGACAAGTCACGGTCTTAGATCCATCCAGCATTTGTTCTGTGTGCGTTCGCATTAGCTTTTCATAAAGCGTCATTCCAGACGGCTCTTCCACCTCTTTTAGACGCTCTGTGTTAGGGATGAACGCTACCACTGCCTTGTTATCGACTATGGGCGGGTTCGAGGGCACTTCTGGCATCTCTCACCTGTGAGAGCAGCCCCAGAGAAATAAGCTCCTACAGGTGCTGGGTCTTGCGCTGGGGACTGTAGGTTTGGGGTCTGCTTGAAACAAACTACTTTGTATAAAGTGTCTTTCAGCCACATTTAAAGGCAAATGTGTTTATAGCTCTTCCAGATGGATACACTCAAAGGCGGACTGAGAAGCCTGCCAGAATATAGTACAGCCAGGCAAAATGTGATAATCATTCAAATGTGAATCATGTGGAACGCTTTCAGGCCGACTCTCCTCAAAGACGTTCACGGTGTTGGATTCATTTAAACGCATGAAAAAGTGGCAAAAAAAAAAATCCGACGTGGGAAAGGTGCAGGGGGAGGACAGACACTGTTTGAGGATCCAACAAGCATTTTGTTGTACGCCTTGAGGCTGCATTCAGACCAAAAATAGCGCTCACACACCACCATCTCCTTATTTACTTATCTGACGCCACTGAGTTAGCAGCACAAGGGTCTTTAGAGGGCTAAAAGGTCAACTTTTTAACAACACACATGCAGATGTGTCTGTAGATGATGTTGTAACTGAAACAATTTTTTTTCTTTGTTTTCTTCCCAGTCATCGAGATGGATAATAAAATGATCGTCACCATGATAACTTTCCCCAGTTGTAAAATCGCTCCTCATATTATAAACAGCTGACCAATGTTTTGATGTCTGATAAGCCTTCAAACTCACAGCTGTGTTATTTAAACTGGACTTCCTGGATCAAATTTCACCGTCTCACTGGTACCTGTAGTAACACACCCACACCAGCGTAGATTTCTTTTTGTTTTTGTTTTTAACGTGGTGCTATTTTCAGTCCAAACGTGGTTGTAGCAGAACAAGGGCTGTTCCTGCTGTTTGTAGTCACTTATATGGTCTGTTTGTCTTGCAACGTGTGTCCTCTGTCAGCCAGGTTTGACCTTCACCTGAGCCAGGTCTATTCTCCTTTGAGCCTTTCTTACGGTAAAGTCCTCCTGTGCTGAATAGGATTGGGGGCGCTCCAGCCAGACTTACAGTAAGCAGCTCTGGACAGGAGATTGTCTGTGGTATTGATCGGGGTGGGATGCTGTATATAAGCTGAATTTGTGTGTTAAACCATGACAGGACTTGACAGGAGGATTTGACTGGTCTTTTGAAGGAATGTCTTTTGTCTCTCCAAAGTCCTGCATTTCTGGTCTGCTTGTGTGAGTGTCACAGATTGACTCTTTTTGTCAGCGTTGAAATTCGAGTAATGGTGCCTGATCATCATCCACGTGAGCCACGGCTTTTAGAAATCCTCATCAATGACCTGCGCCTGGTTCACTCTCCCATTTTAAGTCCATTACTAACAAACCTTCATCTTTTATGGCCTCATTTGACATTGATATATATAGCACAGCAAACAAACAAGGCCCCTGAACTATTCATATAATGTCATTTTAGCATGAGTTGGTGAAACGGAGGTCTTTGACACTAGTATGGAAATTGACGGTGCTTATTAACATGTCAGATGACCATGCCAAAGGTCGAGGTGGGGCAAAGATTGTTTTCGATGAAGGTTGCTATTTCTGGCAGGGCAAGTTAAATTCACTCTTTCAGTTCTTTGGAAAGTAGCAAACATAATCAATATGACCACTGTAGGTCAGCTGTACAGTTTTGGGTGTACACAATTGGGTGTGTTAAATCAAATTATATAATATAGCATGTATTGATACTGTATTTACTATACAGTTATGTAAGTGTTTAAAGGTGAAATTGATAAAAATGGCTCCACAAGAT